AATAAAGATTGTGCTATCCCTCAAAAGAGCAAGTTTAGGGTATATAATTTTCTGCTGTGCTTTTCATACTCACAGTGTCTTTGCTTGGAAATGTGATTGAAGGCACAGAGATGAGATCTCAGTGTGGACCAGCAGTCAAGGAGCTGGTATGGAGGGCTGTGTGGCCCCAGTTTCATTGCCAATACAGGGTCTAGCTGGACCAAACTCACACAGGTAACCGTCATGGGTTTGGTTTTCCTCTTTCTCTACTAAATAAAACACGTGGGATGGAGGAAGAGGCAACAGCTTCCTTAGGGCTGCCCTCCCACTCACAGTGGTTTCTGCATGCAGCTTGGAGAGCAGATGATGGAGGTCTGGAAGATCAGTGTTTATGTATATATTCTGGTTTAAAAACTGTCCCATGAAACCAGCACAGTCAAACACTGGTATGTCAAGGTCTGCTTGCCATGATGAGCAGTAGCAGTCATGTTTTATAGCATGTGCAGCCTCTCAGCTCAGCTTAGCCAGGCTATTTCCATCTCTCTGCTGCCCAGTCCAGAAACCTTGTGGTAGGTTAGGCAGGGTACAAAAATTCCCAAGGAATGAACATGGGATGGCAAGACCAATATAATCCTATCACTTGTAAGATAAAATTGATGTGCAGTAGCCATAGTACCACTTAACGGATAAGACAGTTGGTCCATCTGCGCTCGGTCCATCTTCTCTCATTTCTCTTGCTTGAATTTCTCAGGAGCAGAACAAAATCCTGTTATCCAATAAGTTACCCACTGGTAGTTGGATTTTCATTGAGTGACATCTGTCACAGACCATGGATGTAGGAGGTACCAGTGATTTTGTAGCATCTTTGTTTTGATGGTCTTGGTAGATGTGGACATTTGGGTTTAGTTTTGAAATACAAGGAAATGCTCTCATCTCCCTTGAAGGCCATGCAGCTTGGCTGTCGTCCTACCATGGCCAGATGTGCCAGGAGGCTGCAAAAGGCACGGCATTAGGATGCAAGAGGGAAACTTGAAACTGATCTGTTGTTAGTTGGTAACTTACATGTGTGGGACTGAGCACTCCTGCATTTGAGTGTGTAATGGTCTTTCCTTCCTTTATGGTTGTCTTTTGTCTGCCTGTACAGGTTCTGCCATTTCCATGAACTCCTTATTTTTATAGGCAGGGTATTGCTAAAAGGGCTCTGGGAGAGGTACCTGCCAGTGCCTGCAAGCCAAAAGCAAAGCTTTACAGAAACATGTATTACTGTTTTGGGCCTAGCTTTTCCACACTTCCGTGTTGAAGTTCACTGAATCAGAGCACTGATTTCCTCCTTTTTAACATGTCACATTGACATTATTCCAACTAATGCATTATGATGAAAGGGCTTTTTTCTTAAGCATCCTGCAGAGAGCAGAGCTCAGCATTGGCTCCGGAGCTACCTATCTCTTCCTCTGCACTCCTCAACTCCCCTACTCAACACCTTTGTGCTTCTGTCATGCTACGGAAGCTCATATTAGCTGCCCTGTCCTGGCTTTGCCTGGGATAGAGATGAGTTTCTTCCTAGTGGCTGGTACAGTGTTGCATTTTGACTTTAGTCTGAGAATAATGTTGGTAACAGAGCAGTTATTGCACAGTTATTGCTAAGTAGTGCTTACTCTAAATCAAGGACTTTTTAGTTTCTCATGTTCTGCTAGTGACTGGGTGCACAAAGCCAGGACAGCTGACCAAAACTAGTCAAAAGGATACTCCATACCACAGCTCAAGACAGACACTGGGGGAAGTTGGCCATGAGCCACTGATCACTGCTTGGGGGTGGGATGGGCATCAGTCAGTGGTGGGCAACTCGGTTTTGCATCACTTGTGTTTTCAGAATTTTTGTTTCTTCTTTTTCTTTTTTTGTTTTATTTTTGTTGTTCCCTATTATTATTATCATTCTTGTTATTATTTCTAGTATTACTATATTTTACTTTATTTAAGTTATTAAACTGTTCTTATTTCAACCCATGGGTTTTACCTTTTTCCCATTCTCATCCTCATCCCACCTGGCAGGAGGGTGAGCGAGCAGCTCCATGGAACTTAGTTGTTGGCTGGAGTTAAACCAAGGTATGCCTCTGCTTGCAAGCCAGATGAGCAAAGTGGTCCATCTGATCACCACTCCACGTGATCACCAGTGGCATCAATGCATTTCTCCTGGCTGAGGAGGATGTGCTCTGGGTGCCCCTCTCCTGGCTGGTGCGAGTGATCCCTGGCTGGGCAGTGACATTTACCGTGCCCTGGGCAGGGTGCAGTGGGGTGAAGACAGGCTGTGGCAGGTTGTTCCTGTCCACTCGCCCTTTGGGGTAATTCATCTCAACAGAGGCATGTCCTGGGAAAAGGACACACCACACCTTGCCTAGTGTGCTCCAGAAACTGCTGCTTTCTGTTCAGAATGGGAAATATCCCATTCACCAAGGTCAGCTAGAATTCATCCTAAAACCACTTCTTCATGTCTGGTTTCATTGCAAAACAAACATTTCCAGTGCCTGGTAGGCGGTATTCATCTCACGTAATTTCCACAATGGGAGCTGTAATCCTCACTCTCACAGCCCATCTTTGACTAGTTTCCAGGTGTGACCATTTCGCACTGAAGGCTCAGTGTTGCCAAACCTGGAGCCAAGCTGGGCACGTCAGGCTCTGATTAGGCATGGTGCTCTAAAAAGCCAAATCAAAGAGGGATTGAGATCAGCAGCCTCTTGAGGGCTTTTCAAGGCCTCTCGTGAGTGACCACACTAGAGCTTTTTCAATTTACCTGGATTAAAATTTGTCACAGAGAAAATACAAGCAAATAACACAGCATCTGAGAAGTGTAACAAATAGCATTTGGCCAACTGTTAGGCTCAAAAGGGGAAAAACCAAGCCACATAAGGGGTAAACAATGTTTGCATAACATTGGATTAACAGTTCTTTTTAAAAACCACTCAGAGAAGAAAGAGACGCATTTCGAATGCTGGGACTTGCTCTCCCTTCTTAGCCCAATAAATGCCAGAAAGTACATGTAAGAGAAATAAAAGGTCTCGTTAGCCCCCAGCCTCCTGCTGAAGCAGCAGTGCTTTACACAGGCCTTTGGAAGAGGAACAAACGGCTGTACTATTCCTGGAGCAGTCCTATGTATTTTATATGGAGTTTTGCAGCAAGGGGAGAGGGATTTCTGCCGCATGTCTCCAATCCCATTCTTGTCAGCTGCAATTTTGAAGGCAGTGATGCAGAGGGGAGCTGGCTTCCCATCCCCCATCCCACACACAGCCTGCATATTTGAAAGCCTGCCTTTCCAATAACTCATTCATAGCACTCGTGCCTATTCTTCCCCAGCCCTGCTCCATGTTTTGCTGAAGTCAGTGCCGGCCCTGTCACTCCTCTGGGAAGGCATGTGCTTAAGCACTGCTCAGGGCCTCTGGCTCAGGTCTGTTACCGTATTAATGTGGAATAATCAATGAATGCTGTCCCTGATTCCTTCAGTTCCTTAGTTTGCAGTATCTTTCGATGATACCCATTTGCATTACACTAGCCACAGTTTTGGCAGAAATAGAGTCCTGAAAATGAGGCACCTCCAAATGCTGGTGTGAGTTCCACAAATGAGGCATAGCAGCGCGTGGAAGGAAAAATCCAACCTCCATCTTTTGCTCAGAAAAGATGTGAAATGGATGTTTAGGTGGCAAATGCCTGCTTTATCTGGCTTTTGGCTTTTGTCCCTATTGCTCCTATGATTGTCCTGTTGGTGTGATGTCCCATAGCAAAGCGTGGGATCTCCCACTCTGAAACACAGGTCATTCCTAGTTCCTCAGCTCAACAGAGTTGATATCAAACAGAGTAACAGGCTGGGAAACCTTCAAAGGTTCAAAATAAGTCTTCAAACAGCTATGGGGTTTCTACCTGCTTTCCTTTTCTTTTCCCTTCTGCCTGCTCCAGAATCCACAGCAGACTGTAGAATTTGCACCTTAATCCTAAAGATGATGGTAATTAAAAACCTAAGTCTCCATAAACAGATGCAAATAAATTAAGGAGGCAAAGAACTGAATTAGAGGCTAATCCTGGTGGGGTAGTGAAAGCAAAGGGGCCAGTAATTCTTCCCTTCTGTTATTTCACCTGTTCTTGTGGCAGGACAAGGCTGCAGCATAGTGAGGCGCCTGGATGTGCCTTGTGGATGGATGACCATCAACTGCTCACCAGCAAAGCTCTGGCCATGCTTGCAGAGCCTGGGAAGAGGACACACTTCCCAAACCGTTGCAGCTAGTGCACTGGCATATGTGTTAGCTTGAAGAGGGAGCTGTGTGCCAACATCTTCGAATCATGTGGCTTGCTTTGCATTTGCTTGCTGCAGGTGTTTCACAAGCATGAGTTTGGCAACTGGTGCTCACTCCCAAGTGCTGCACATAGCCCTTTCCTCACTCTCATCCTGCAGGGATGCCAGCAGCCCAACAGAACTTACTTGGGCTTTGGGTCCACCTTTGGTCATACCTCAGTACTGAAGAGCAGGGACCTAAGATTTATTCAGGTGGAAGAAAAGTGCTGGTTTTTGTTCCCCTGTGTGCTCCCTTGTGCTGAAGAGTGCAGCAAACTCAGCTGTGCCAATATCCCTCTGCTTTTCCCTTGTCTTTAGTAAAGCATGGGGGCCAAGGATGGGCTTGGACAGAAGTATTTTGCACTAAAGCTTCAGGATTAGTGAAGGTCCCAAAGTAAGGCCATAGGATTGGAAATTCTTCATTTTTATGGCCTGGAAGTGATAACGCTATGAACTGAATTATACTCATGTCATTATGTGATCCACACACTCTTATGGGTGGATGGATATTGATTACCAATCAATACTGATTGATGGTAGATGATGATTCAAAGCCTGATTGCCAGGCACCTGCATGTCCTGGGCTGTTTATCTAGTCAATTAAAATATTTCTGTGATTCAGTGTACTCATTTTAAACTGGGATTTACTTGTATCCCCATGATGTTTCCTATACATCTAAAATAAAGTCTCTTTCTTTTTCAGGATGGGGAAGGCCAGACTGCACTCCATTACGGTAAGCTGCCTTTCAGCTTGGTTATTCCCTTTTAACAGAATTGGATTTGCAGCTGGAGTAAATGGTCTATGTACAGAAAGCAAATTTCAGCAGAAATATGAGCAGGGAAACTGGATTTGATTAACCAGCAGCTACCTCCACTAGCAAATCCCAGCACAGTATGAGTAGGAGCCCTGCGAGAAGCAGTGAAGAACGCTGCTGTTCTCCTTTCATTCTCTGTGAATATCACCTTAAAGCCTTCCTTTTCCGCCAATTAATGTTGAACTTTCTGCAGAGTTTTTCCTCTGCACCTATGTGTCTCTGGGACGCAGCTGTACTATCTCCAGACCCAGGAATGGGTCTGGTTAGGGGATGTCCCTTAGACGTCAGGCGTTTTAGAGGAGGGTCTGTACCAGCTTCAACTGGTTATGCAGGTGAAGGGAAGGGGACAAGGCCTTCACCTCCATATGTTCTGGAGACAAACCTGTTTGATCACAGCTAGGAGAGCAGCAGCTTCTCTACTACCGAAGTCAGCAGAGCAAAGTGAGTTTGTCTCCCTCCTACACTTACATGCTAATTAGGTACATGATTTTGTAGCAACCTTTAATAGAAAAATTGTTCTATGTCCACATGAGAAAAGTAGAGGCTAAAGTGACACACGTGGTGCTGATGTGTGGGAATAGGAAAAAAGTATTGATTAACACTGTATCATAATTCTTCTAAAATTAAGATGTACCCAGTTATTGTATTATACTCTTTCTCAATGCTTGTCACTGTGTAATTAAGAGCACACTTGTCATTCTGAAGTGTTTGTGTCTTTCTCTCTTTCTGATCTCTCCACAAGGACTTTAGCAGGATGGCAAAATTGCTTTGCAGAACATCAGTCCAAGCCACAGACAGCATTTGGATCTGGATCTAAACCACCAGATTCCAGAGCCCCTGAACCAGGATTGTAATTACAATAATGTATTATTTCTCCCCATATGATCTTTCCTGTAGGATACTCTATTTTTCAAAATCTTACCATTGTGACTGGAGTAGCAAATCTGCTGCTTAGTGCAGCAGTGTCCACAGAACGACAGCACTTAGTGCCACATTGCCGCTTTCTCTGCCTACATTTTGACCTTTTCTCTCCTGGGAAGACACTGTCCCCAGCTCCGGCACTGGCATCTGCCTATTGAGGGTAGGATTATCATTGACTGTACAAAACCACAGCATATATGTAAGTTATCCAAGAAAGCTATTTCAGGCAAGTTCACTATACAAAAGTGAAGGGTGGATGCATCACCTCAGTGTAAACTATGTGCAGGTGGATCCCTCTGGCTGGTGACTGAAGTGGGTTGTTTAACACAAGCAAACAGACATCACTAATTCAGTTAACATTAAATCATAAATGGTTTCTGTGATCCACCCTGCCAGCTTAGATGTTTCAATAATGACAGTTTACCAGGGCTTTTTTCTGGAATGTTTTAAGTTTAAATTTTTTTTTTCCCCTTGAACATAATCCTACATCCCCTCCCTCTCTGTCATCTTTGGATAAGCCTGTCTGGGACACTGGCACACAGGTCTGATGTGCCCACAGGTGCCCTGCTGTCCCTGGCTGACCATCGCTGCACCCAGGCTGTCCTCATTCCCTTACTTAGCTGATCTGGTCATAAATCACTCTGATCTTGAACACAGCTTGCTATATGAGTGAATGGTTTTGATAAAAGTGGCTATTGGCCTGGAACTGGAACTCACTGAAAATCTCCTGATACCGTCTCGGTTATCACTTTGTAACCAATCCATTAATTGCAGTGAAGAGTGTTGTGAGAGCTCATATGAAAACTGTCTCTGGTGGTACTGAGCCAAGCAGTGTCTTTACAAGGCCTTCCCTTTTGTAACAAGCTGTTCAGGGAAGGGTTAAATCCCATGAGCAAGGCAGCCACTGCTTTTAGGGTTTCTCCATCCCTTTTTATGAGCTGGCATGGCCAGACAGCTGTCCTTGTGGTGACAGCTCTCCTGATTACAGCTGGTGTCAAACTGCATCCTGCTGCGGGTTATAAATCCTACCTCTTTCCGATCGGCGCCAACCCGGGTTTAATTGGAGGTTAAGTGGAGGCCAGCCGGCAGCGTGGTCCGAAGGCACTGGCTCACCAGTGGTAGCTGCCATCAGACCCCTCTTCTCTGGACTGAAGGCAGCAGTCAGTGCCATGTACGATCAGTATGAACATGGTCTCCCCACTAAATGGCCTGTTAGTCTTCAGCTCCTCTCCATCCATCCATCCACCCACTCACCCGCGGGGAATACTAAAATCATTGCCACTGCCTCTCCCAAAGGAAATCAAGGCTTCTCTGAGCACTGGTGGCCACGTGGCCATGGAGTGGGCAGGCTCTGTATCCTCATGGGCGTCCCAACTCCCCTGCAAAGCACCATCTGTTCGGCTCTGTCTGTGCTGTGGCAGGGCAGTGGGAGGGGATGCTGGAGGGAAAATAAATAATAAAAAAAGAAAGAAAAGAAATTTATCATCCGAACCCTGAGGATTAATGGAGTCGGAAGGCAAACTGCGCTGAATGGAAATTCATCTTCACCCGTGCCAGTGTCAGGGCTGCCGCTCCAGCCCTTGACAAATCGAGGGTCCCAGGGTGCGATAAATCCAGCAGCTGTGCTCATCCCTGGGGGTGAGCATCCCTGGCCCGCTCAAGGTCATGGGCTGTGCCCGCCAGCAGCACCAGACCAGGAAGCCGCCTTTCTCCATGTGGGCACCACCTCCCCATCCCCAGGAGCTGCCAGCACAGCTTCCATGGCACCCCTGCATGTCTGCTCTCTGCAAGGGTGCTGTGCCATCCCCAGGACATGCCCTCCCAGCCCTTCAGCTCAGCCTCACCCACACCCCTACCTGCTTCCTTACCAATCCCTTCCTCGTTTCTTCACCTTTTTTTATCTCTTTCTGTATAAACTCCAATCACACATCAAATTTATTTTAACTAAACATTGCTGCTTGTCCCTTTGGGTCAGTAGAAAACTGCAGAGTAATGCAGAAGACACTCTAATTACGACATTTAAGAACAAAAAAGAGTTAGTTATTTTGTAAAAGCACCTGAAATGTAGTTAAAACCAATGGCTACCAATGTGGGAAGAAGCTGGTGACTTCATGATCTCAAGGCAGATGGGGGCTGAGGCAGTTTTTTGGCTTCACTAGGGTTTGTGTTGCATGGGCTTAAGGAAACATCCAGGGTCTTCTGCTGACGTCAGCTAAGCCCTGCCCTTCGGTGTAAAGAGCTTTTCAGGTTTTCCTGGTTCTGTTTTGTTGTTTTTTAGCATCCTTAGGCAGGATTGGAGGGGGAGCTGAAAGCTGCCAGGCTGTTACAACCTCAGGACAGAGAAGAGCTCAGGTCAAACTTGGTTCTATCTTGGCAGAGTAAATTTGGGTTAAAATAATAGTTGCTAGAGGTGTGAGTTAGAAATAACGGTGCGTAGAAGTGTGCTGTAACCGGCTGTCCATGGGCACGGGCGCGTTGCCCTGGAGCTGGTGCTCAGGGAAGGGCCAGCTGGCAGATAAAAAAGCCTGAATATTCTGCAGGGAGAAATGATCGATGAAAGCCAGGAGCAAGGTAGTACTGATGATGTCCTGCCTGGGACATACTGCCTGGGAACAGTGTGGAGCCCTGGGGGGTTCAGCAGGCAGGTGAGGGGCTTATAAATATCTTATGAATGATAAATGCATCATAAATTCTGTGTACAAAAGCAGGCAGGGAATGCTTTCCCAGGTGGCACTTTGGGGCTTTCTGTGGTGCTGCATTAGTGCTCTGGAGCCCTTTCTGGGTCTGTTTCCTGTCTTGGATGTGAAGAAACATGAATCAAACTGTTCTTAGGTACCATGTGCATCATCCTGGGTGATGCCCCACAAACCACCAGTGGCTCCATGGCTGGGCTGCAGGCTCTGGACTCCCACAGGATTTGTGGCCTCTTGTCTGTCTTTTCCCTTTCCTTTGCACTATTAAATACAAAGGCAAATAATACATTGAGTACAGAGTACAGAACACTGCCCCATAAGAATTATCTGCTCTGCCTGGCCAGGTGCTGAGACAGCATTTCCTGCTCTGGTACATGCATGGGAAATCACCAGCTACAGCACTGCTCCAGAGATGCCCGTCACCACCGCCTCAGGTCAAGATCCCCAGACTAACCCTTTGCTTTCTCCCTCCAGCTGCTGCCTGCGAATTTCTGGACATTGTGGAGCTGTTACTGAAGTCAGGTGCCAACCCCACACTGCGGGACCAGGAGGGCTGCCTGCCAGAGGAGGTAACAGACTGTAAAGCCATCACTTCAGCTCTGCAGCAGCACACCGCTGGCAAGACCTAACCCCGCAGCCACGCATGGCAGGGAGGACAGAGACGCTCTGCAATAATGCCCCTTCTCTTCCCCTGGTGCCTGCCAAAAGGCCTTGGGGGCTTGAAGGGGAGCTTTTAGAGCACAGGGTCTGGGTGGGCTGTCCAGCACCAGGGCTGGCTGGCTGAGAGTGTATCCTGGGCAGGATGGGATCAGGGTTTTGCATGCTCTGACATTTATCAGTATTGGGGGGGAGGGAGCAAGGGAGGGAAAAGGGAGTCTGGAGAAGGCCTCAAGTATTGTTTTAATGTATTAAATGCAATTACTGCATTGGATGTCTCACCAGAGCAGCCTGTGCTGACTGGTCAGCTCCTGTGTGGGGAGGGGATGGCTGCTGGTCCAGGTGAGATGTTCATCTGTGCCCTTTGGGTTGAGTTTTGGGGGTTTGTTTTCAGTTGTTTGGGTTTTCTTTCCTGGGTCCAAGCAAAATGTTATAAATAAAAAAAAAAAAAGCACAGTGTGGGGACAGAGTGTCGTGGGGTGGTGTTTTTTTTCAATGGGAGTCACTTAGTTCCTTGGAAGCAATAAGGATGGGAGGCAGTGCAGCACTGTCATACCCCTTGGAAAGCTCTATTCAAGCTCACGTCTTGAGAAGGCTACAAACAACAGTGGGATCATACAGCTGTTTGTGCATCCCTCTAGTTCTTACCTAACATATATAAGAGAAGTAAGTGCTTTATGGATAACCAACCTTTCCAAGCCAACAGGACTCTTACCACTTCACAGAACTGCTTTGCTGAATTAAACGGTGTTAAAACCACACCTCCATCAGCAGCTCCAGGTCCTTCTGTTGCATGCTGATCCCCGGAATGGCTCAGCTGGCTAAATGCTAAGAAGTGAGAAAGATGTGCCTTGCAGGGATGCCTCAGGTGCTGGAGTGGGGGGGGATGATGGTAGGGCTTACTGCTTGCTTGTCGGGATCCCCACTGGGCTGTGCCAGTGGATCAGCCATCGTACAGGGAAGCTGCCAGGGATGGGTTTGTGCTTTGGGCTAAAACTCCTGTCTCGGAGGGTGACTGACTGCTGCACTGGGTGGGTGGCCACAGCAAGAGGAGACTGTGCCTTCCCTGCAGGGTGTTGCCACGCTGCTTGCTTTTCCTTGGGGAAGGGGATCTACAGCTTGCGGGAAAGCGTAGGAAACCTCCTTGTGATGGGCTACTTGCCCTCGAGTCCTTCCAGCCTCAGGAAAATAAATGGGAATGTTCCTGCCACTAATAACTGGCTGGACAGAAGGCATTTGTGTGTTTCAGCCCCTCATGGGAGCTGACTCCTGCTAGCATTTGCTAATACTGTCTTAAGTTTGCTGCAGTGGGTTGAATGCCACCAGCAGCCACAGTACCACTACTGCATAGCTCACACACCAAGCTCAGTGGTGGGCAAGTTAATGGACTATACAGGCATTTAGATTGACCGTGTCAAATTACTTCCCATTACCTTCATACTGGAGGGGTCTGCTGGGCTGGGGAGCTGTGGTGGTGATCTCTGTGCTTTTGGGTCAAAAATAAAAATAGCCCTTCAGGGCTTTTTGCGAAGGGGTAGGAAACAAGCTCTAAGCCTGCTGCTTCTGACCATCCCAAAGAAACTGCCTTCCTAGCCGGACACTGGATGGCAAAACTAAAATACACCCGTGAATCCCTTTGCAGCCACCACACATACACCGGTGCTTTTGTTGCCCAGTTGTGACAAGGGGCTGGTGAAACAAGCTGACAGCGGCCAGGCAGGGAGCTGCATACCGAGGATATAGAGATGTGACTCCTTAGTGGCGTGAAGCAAGCTGCTGCTGATAAACGTCCATGTTCCATACAAAATGTCAGGTTTCAACATTTAGAGTCCCTGTGGGACGGTGCTTATTTGATGGAAGGCGATGCAGCAGCCCCCTGACCCCTGAGCAAGGGCCTGCAATGGCTTCTGCTGACCTTCACCCTCCCAAGGGCACCTGCAGGCTGACAGTACCTGGTCTCACCACAAACATGGCTTATGCAGTCAAAATGTGATGGGTGCTGACAGCAGTGATGGACACTTTTGCACCCAAATGTGAATGAAGCGAAGATGCCAACCCCAGTGCTGAAGTGCTCTGCATGGAGCCACTCCACTCGTTTTGGGATGGAGACATGGTGGCATCAAGGTTAGGGACAAGCGAGGCCACCTTTGTGCAGTGCTGTAATGCACGGCCACTGCCTGGCTTGATGGACATGTTGGGTAATAAAAGATCTCTCTTAAAGCAGGGATGAAAAGCGGTAGCTGTGATCCCTGTGCTTTCAGGGAGCACATTTGGGGGCTGAGCGCTCAGCCCTGGAGATGTTTATAGCACTTTAGGTCTGTTTGTGAGGCTGGAGCCTTTCCAAAAAACTAAAAAAAAAGAAAAAAGAGGGTGGGGGTGGGAGAAAAAGACATATATTATTGTTTATAATCTGCTTTATTCAGCCAAACCTTCCCCAGCAGCCCTGCGGATTGCTGTTTAAATCCCTTGGTGCCTTTAACTACTGATACAGAAAGTGGTTAATGTGCATTTGCTCTAAGCTTGGCATCTACTCCAGGAAATCACTTTAATTGAGAAGCATTAAATGTTAAAATGATTAAAATATAGAAAGCCAACACACAGGTGCCCGTGGTGGGGCTTGGGCCCCCTGGCATGGCGCTTCCACCTCACCTGTGCCCACCAATGCTGTGGTGGTACAGCCAGGCAATGGCAGCGGCACCAACATCACTGCATGGTGTCAGGAAAGCTGCTGGCATCTTTGGGTGCCATGTGGCAGGGGTAAAGATACCCACCCCAAAACCACCCCTCTACACCCGTGCCTGCAAAAAGCCAGTGCATAATGATCCTGCCCCATCCCATGGGGATGCTGGCTCCTCCATCCATCCAACACCCAGGGGATCCCGATCCCAAACAGCTGATGGTGCTGGAGCAAGCAATGCTTATGGTGGCTGCTGCCCTCCCTCCCTAAGGAAGAAGATCCCAAAGACAACAGTGGCTAAACAGCATCCCGAGTTTATTTGACATCGTTTTCCCGCAAGGCGGAGGGGGTGACTGTACACATCTCATGCCAATGCACTGGAGGCAGGATACAAAAGCAATGCCCTGGGCCCGAATTCAGGGGAGAGGGGGGATCCTTTCTCCCCAGAGACATGGCAATAAATAAGGTTTTATTCTTTGATATTTTTTTTAATTACTACTTTTGTTGGGGTTTGTTTTTTTTCATTTTTCCCCCAGGAAACAAGACTCTCACCTTCTGGAACTGTACAAAATTTACACAGTGAGGGGAGGGGGTATTTGGCCTTGTCAAAGGGGGATGGAGAGCAGCAGGCATAGCTTCCCCCTGCTCACCTCCCCACCAGCTGCCTGCGGTACCCGGCAAGGCCGGGAGCTTGGCACAAAGCAGCACCCAAGGCTGGGAGGGGAGGCACATGGGTGCAGCTCCTGCAGCACCAACACACCCAGCTGGGGTCACGGAGGGACAGGGACATACCAGTGATGTGCTTTCTTGTGTGGCTTTTTTTTATTTTTCTTTTTTCCCATTTTTACTCTTTTTTTCTCCTTTCCTTTTGGAGCTCTTCCTCCCCCACCCCCCTCCAGCCTCTGGGGCAGCAGCCACTCAACTGGATCCACCACCAACCCTCCTGGAAGGGCAGCCTGGGATCATCAGCATCACCCCAGAGCTGGCGGGACCCCGCAGCCAGGGCACCGCCGTGGGGCCGGGGCAGAGCCAGGCACCCCGGACAATGAGCGTGGAGCTGGATTTTGCCACCGGGTTGAATGCCTTCAGCCTGGCCAGGATGGGTGCGGGAGATGGGCAGTGGCCATTGCACGCCCGGGGGGTGGGTTTTGAGAAAGGGGGTGGTGCTGGGTGGACCCGGCCAGGAGCAGACCCCATGGGGCTCGTGGGGTCCCAGCTGCCTGCACCCACCTTCGGTCCTGTGAGCCCCACAGCACCAGGGGAGGTGGTTGGCCTATACCAGGGGGGTGTCACAGCACAATCCCCTCCATTCCCCACCACGGGGGTGCTTCTGCAGCTGATGAAATGCCCTTTTCCCCTTTCTGGGGGGGGAATTGCAATACCCTGAGAGCAAACATTCCCCACCTCTCCCTGCCACCCTTCTCCGGCACCTGCGGCAGCTGCTCTCCATGTGCCAGCCCCAGCACAGCGTTGCTTGGCCATGGGCATCTCCAGTGAGAGGCTTTTTCTGTTTTAATTCCTCCCTGCCACATGACCGAGGTAAACCCCGCAGGGATGCGCTGTAAGTGCTCCTGCGTGCCAGGGATAAATCAGCCGTGCACGGCAGGGCAGCAGGGCAATGGCCCTGCCTGGACAGGTCCCCGGCCTCGCTAAAATAAACCCTTCTACAATATAGACTTTTCTTTCCGCTGAGGTTCCGGGCAGCGCCGAGTCGCGTTTCAACTCCATATCGAAAAATAACTCTTGAAAATAGCAGCGGTGCTCAAAAGAAGGGGTGCGGGGCTGGCGCGGGCACCGGAACGGACTCTGCCATCCGTGATTGTCCTTCCCTCCCGCCGGCCCGCACCATCACCGGCCCCCGCTGTGCCCAGCCCTGCGCAGGATCCTCGCCATGCATCCCGTGCGCCGACACCTCTCTTGTGCTTACACCCAAAGGCATCTGTGCCCCCCACACACACCCCAAGCACAGCCACCCAGGGCCATCGCGGGTGCTGATCCCTCTACTTCCAGCCCCTCCGGGGCAGATTCCCATGGGAAATCCTGGAAAGGTCAACTGCCGGCAGGCGCCCTCAGTGCTATGCTTGCGGGCTGGGGGGGGGAGCGAGGGGGGCCGGAGCGGGCAGGCGAGCGGCGCTTAGAAAGGGGGGTGATCCATGTCGTCCAGCCAGGAGGCCGGGCTGGTGGGAAAGTCTGGGTACCCGACGCTGCTCCCCGTGGAGATGTCGGAGGTGGGCCCCCCCCCAGCCATGGCCCGCAGCGTCTGACTCACCCCCTGCGCCCCGTGGGCCACCAGCCCCAGGCTGCCGTCCATGGCGTAGTCCAGCCCGTTGAGCAAGGGCGGGTGGGACGGCAGGGAGGAGATGGAGGACGGCGACTGGGGGAGGCCGTAGGGACTGCCGTCCCGCAAGTCCTGGTACGACTGTCCTGTCCCCTCCATGGGGAAGCTGCCGTTCAGCAATTGTCCTCCTGCCACGTCCCCCACGGTGCCATAAACCCGGTTGGTGTGGCCGAGCTCGGAGAGGATCTGATCTTCTGCCGGGGAGAGGAGGGAGAGCAGAGGGGAAGCGTCAGCGCAGGGGGGAGCCCCGCGGCCCCCCTGCCCTGTGCCGGATCCCCGCTCACCACGGAAGCTGAGCTCGCTGTCGCTGACGCCGCAGTCCTCGGCGGAGCTCTCCTTCTCCAGCTTGCCACCGGCACGGCTCCGCTTGACGCTCTTGTAGAACTGCCCCCAGCGATGCCGCCCTGCGTCCTTCTTCAGCCGCTTCTCCTTGGCCCGGCGGTTCT